TGCCTTCCCTCCTGCCAGAGCTAAATGATGGCACAAGAAGGCCTTAACACTTCCCACACTTGCAATGCATCTGTCCTGACATGTGGGTGAAACCATGGAAAACATCTCACAAACAGCTACTGCTTGCACAGGCTTAGGAAGGCTGTGATGGAGTGGTGAGGCCGTGGCACAGGTTTCCCAGAGAAGCTGTGGATTCCCCATCCCTGGATGTGTTCCAAGCCAGGCTGGATGGGACTTGGAGCAACCTGGTCTAGTGGAAGGTGTCCTTGCCTATGGTGGGGAGGTTAGAACTGGATGATCTTTAAGGTCCCTCCCAACCAGGCCATTCTCTATTTTATGATTCTGTTTCTTTAAAATGACTTAGGAATGTCAAAGTGAAAAAAAGAATTGCATTACCCAGTAAGGTTACAAGATATAGAGCTTCTCTTGTATTGAGGAGCCCATGTAAGTAGGAGCCCCAACCGCAGTTCATAAATAGCAATTGTTAATCTAAATTGGAAGGATTGAGTTACAAAGGAACTATTCCCAGTCCTCTCATTTTCATCAGTGGTCTAATCCCAATGGACTCCAGGGGCAAAATTAAACTTTTAGTTGCATTTTTTGGGTTTTGCATTAAAAGCAATGTATTTGATTGAAAGGAAACAAATTTAGTATAAAAATCTGTTCCTACTTGGACATCAATTGCAGCAGAGAACATGCAGTAACACTGATTCTCTAGAGGACCTTCCCTACCTCATGAACTGATTTGCTTTCTCTTACTCACCTCAATATGCCATTTACTGCTTGGGAGTTTTTAAGTTGTGTTTATTTTTGCTAAAGTTAGGTTACCCTCTCGCGCAGTTGATGTGTGAATTTTTGTTATGTGATTAAGAATGCTTTTGTATCCTTTGACAAAGCTAACTAAAGGTAGATGTTTAAAAAAAAAAGGGAAAGAGGAGGAGGAAAATTAGCAAAGCCCTCAGGTTAAATCTGGTCTTTTCTTAACAGGAACCACAAATATTTTCCAGGCTTTACCTATTAATGTTTTCTTTCCTGAGATAGTTGTCTTCATAACTACACACAAAATGCACGTTTTTGACCTAACTATCTTTTCCAATGATATATTTTGAGGAAATAATCCATTTTAATTACAGCAAAATGAAATGTTTCTTTCTGGAATGGGAGGAGTTTCTCCTTAAAAAACTATGCTTTTTCTGTTGATGGTACTCTGCATTACATAAGAATTATCCCACTTTCCTACTCTTCCCCAGGGGAGCATTCTATCTGTATACCACTCATAACCTTTCAATGCATGAGCGCTTAGACATCTTTCATAGCTGCTGTGGTAACAACAACAAAAGAAAATCACATAAATCTGCAGAAGAATTGCTCAGTGGTATGAAGTATTCTGGGTTTGAAATATTCTGGTTTCTACCAAAACGCTAATTACTTAATTTTGTGTCCTTCCTGGTCGAGGTAAATCATGCAGCCCTCGCATCTCGACATCAGTGAGTTATGTAGCTCTTTGCACACATCAATTAATTTTTGCCCCATCAATTTCCCACCTCCTGTGTGCTGCTCACCCCAGATCGGGTTTGCATCTCCCAGTCGCGAGCAGTTCATCTCATGCTCCCGGCAGCTGCATCTGCATCTGCCCAGGCCTGCAGCCCCGCTTCAACTCTTCACCCTCCCCCTCCTGCCTCTGCTCCTGCTCAGCCAAGCCACCACCTGCTCCTGCTGAATCCCTCCTCCTCCCTCTCACCAACATGGATCCATCTCTGTGCCTTGCCTGTGGATCACCACCTAATCCCATTGCACCCAACCCAGGGCAGTGACCTGGCTGTCCTTATCACTCTTCTCCCCATTTTCAAAATGCATGTTGCAAGATTGAAGCTCCATCTTCAATTGTTCCATAAGAATGACCTGTGAAAGTCATAGTGGGATTGGAGCAGCCATCCCCAAAGCCCTATCCATGGTGAAGGCTGGATCACACAACATCCCACTGAGAAAAGCAGAAGCTTCTGAGTTTGTACAAAAAATGATGTTGAGAAGAAAGGTGGTGCCAGCACCCATCCAACTTAGCCCTGCTGGTTGGCATCACCTGGGCCTTGGACTTGAAGTGCTGCAGGTGCCCACAGCATGTGCCCCAGCAGGCTTCCCTAAGCAACCCAGAAGAGTTCACTTCTCTCCAGTGAGCAAAAATATTATGAGGGGTGTCTTGTTCCCTTACTGTCAACCTCTGTGTGCAGTTTGGTTCTGAATTATTTTGGCCAGAAATAAAAAACCATCTCTGTGAGACATGTGCAGAGTTGAAAGGCCTGGGAGGGCAGCATGATGTTCTGCAAGCAAGAGAGGCCTCAACTTGCTGTTGTGTTCTGAGTGGTCAGCAGCAAAGCAGCTCTGCAGCCCACCCATAGCCCCTCATCAGGCCTTTTTCCTCCAGGAATGCTGGATAGGTCAAAGCAGGGCCCTTCCTCACCCTCTCCTGCTGATTTTAGCTCCTCGGGAGCATGGAGAGGGGGAGACTGGTGGCTTGCCAAGGGGCCAAGGTGATGGCAGCAGAGGCAGGAGCAGTCAGGCTGTGCCCAGGGTCTCCCAGGGTCACCACCTTGGGATGGCTGGTGGAGACCAGCTCTCAGTTCAATCTGCTTTTGTCTCCAGGGCTGGACGGAGTCTGACTCTCGTCTCAAGTTCAGGTTATAGAATATTTTTTCTCCTTTTTGTCTGTGTTGATACAGCCAGCGTGCACTGCTGCAACCGACTTGTGCTTTTTTTGTACAGGTCCCAGCACATCTGGTCGCCTTGGATAAGGTCCCTGGGCCTGATTGTAGCAAAAAAGTAATGATAGCATGCTTAAAACTTGGGCCCTCAACTATCAACATAAGTAAAACACAAAGCACTGGGGACAAACAGGAGGAAACACAGATTTTAGTCAATGATCAGAAAAAAGTATGTTCACTGTGTTCTGTCTGCAGTTGTTTTGTGTCTTGGAACTGAGAACCAGGCAATGGAGTACTTGCTCCTCGCTGATTGGCACTGAGAATTTTCCCTGTCCCACCTGCACCACAGCCCTGGTCATTCATCAGTGGGAAATTAAGCTGGCTCTAGAAAATGTTCTAATTATCTGGGTGTCCTGATGAAACCTACCTTGGTTTGAAAGAGGCACCACTGTACTCACGTGAACATTTCTTGTTTCTTCTAAATCATAGAATTAGCTATGGGCATTTCCTTAAGAGCATGCAGAACACAATTGCAATTTAATTCCCCTCCCTCCAAGCCTAGTCTTGAAAATGCAAATTTCTCTTTCAAGTGTGTTGGCAAAAAATGGCAACGTTCTCACACAAACACACGATTTAGACACTGAATTATACACTGGTCAAGTTATTGTCAGTGAGCTGAGTTCTTGGCTGAATTCATCAGGAGTGGAAAACAGCACAGTCTGCTGAGCAAATATCAGTGGACAACTTGTTTCTTGCTCTCTTCTGTAGGGATCCAGCACTGGCCACTGCAGAGACAGGGTGCTGGGCTGGGTACTGACCTGTGGGCTTCCCAGCCTTGCTCTGTCCTTGCACAGCTCCGTGCAGCACCACAGGGCCGTGCACTTTCTGCTGAGCATTTTCATGCTTTGTTTTAAAAATAACAAGTTTTCTCTTAACATTCAGGATACATTTTTCCACTCTGAAGCACCACAACAGTCTTTTTAAAGAAACTCTAGGAAGGGTGTTAACTTGATCAATGCTGTGCAGGAAGGAAAGCTCTTTCCTACTATTTTTTCAGCATGACTTTCACTGACATGATCAAGCTGGGAAAAGACTTATTGGCTGACAGCCCAGGACAGCCATGCAATATCTCTAGTCATCTGGAACTCAAACTCGTCTACCCAAGGGAGAACCATAACATAAAAACAATTTAGGTTACATACTGAATCTTATAAACATTGGTTTCTAAAAAAATAGTTTAAATACTATTTATGTGCATTTGCTATGCATGGGATTATTGTATTTTGCTTTCCTTGTTTCCAAATGTCAAGTAAGAAAGGTTGGAGGGTTTTTACTTTTTTTACTGTAGATGGTTTTCAGAAATCTTGGAGATTTTTTATAAACATAGGGAAATGAGCTTCCTCCCTTCTCATAAATTTAAGGACTTGGCTTCTCCTCTATATTGGATATAATTGTTTTATATATAGATAAAGTTTACGTTTTGACCCTGTCCAGAAAGATGTTTGAAGGGAGCTTCCAGAGGCACAGCAGTCCCCTCCTGCACGCATGGGACTTTCACCACATCAGGAAGAGCTTGGCTTCCTCTGCTGAGCCATAAAACCCCCAAGAGCACAGTTTCCACAGCCTCCCCAGTAACCTGCCCTGAGGCTGTGTTTCTCTTCTATAATTTTTTTCCTCCCATCCAGTCTGAACCCTCCATGCTGCCCTTTGTGGTCATTGTCCCATCTTAGGTTTTTTGTCTGTTTGCTTTGCCACCCTCCTACCCCCAACATAAACTGAGTAACCCTGAACACCCAAAGTGCAAGGCCAAACACACATGCACAGTGCTGTGCATCACTGGCCTCTCTCTGGTGTTACCTTATTTTGCATAAAAAACCTCATCAGAGTAATCTGCTTCTCTGTAAGCATATGCAGCTCTAATAAAGCAATGTGGATCCACAATGTAAGATTCACTCCAACAAAACCCTTCTTTTCTCTGCTTGTTGTCTTGGTGGAAGATCTGAACTTGGGATATGTCCATTGTCACCCGTCCTTCTGCCAAGTCCTAACATTCCAGCACACCTTGCAATAAGTCTAGAAGTATTGTGTTAGGAAAATGACTGTGGTTCCTCTATGATTCCTTTTTTCCATAAACTGGTATTTCACAAGCTGAGTAGCCTTACTGTCTTTTCTTGTGCAGGTTCATGCTTTTGTTTAAACTGTTGGTTATTTGGTGGTGTGGTGGTGGTGTTGTTTTTGAGGTTGTTTTTTTTTTTACTTCCTTGATATGCTGTAACTTTTGCTGTGATGCTTTGATTGCAGGCCCTGCTGAGGCCGGGGCGAATAGACCGAATTATCTATGTGCCACTGCCAGATGCAGCCACTCGCAAGGAAATCTTCAGGCTTCATTTCCAGTCCATGCCAGTCAGCGATGAAGTCTGCTTGGCTGAGCTTGTGGAGCACACACAGAAGTACTCGGGAGCAGAGGTAAAACTTCCTGGAGTCAGTGCACAAATGGTATTTAAAGTTCAACTCAAATGTCCCTTGAGCTTTCTCGGAGTGCTGGTAGGAATTATGAAAAGGAATATTTCAGATATTCCTGTGTTTTTGCAATTTGGGACTTTTTCACTTCAAGGTCCCTTATCAGAGGAGTGGTGCCAGGGGAGGGGTCTCTTCCAGGGTGAGCCTTCATACAGTTGCAGGCAGCCTCATTAAGGATGTGCTGCCAGGACTGGAGGGAGGTGGAGGCAAGCTCTTCCAGACTTCCCAGACAGTTCTCCCACATCTCCAGGAATCTTTTGAGTGCAGGGTTGTGAGTGAGAGTCTCAGGAGGAGAGAGATGGAGGTAAGTAACAGTGCAGGTGAATTGCAAAGGAGTCACTTTGAAGCTTGTATTTTCCTATTCCATATAATTAAAATTTCACAGCAGCACTATTGTTATAGCTTGTTGCTATTACTTAGCTTCTGACAGTGGATGTCAGACAATTATTTCCTGTCCTGGGTAGAAGGAGAAACTTTCTCAGATGCTGCTGCCTGGCAGTTATAGTAAGTATCAGTACCTTAGTGGTCACTATTCTGGTCCCTGAGTATTATTCATGTCAGTGTCTCGTGAAAGGATATTTCATTCTTTCCTCATTTTAATTAATTTAGAGTAATTATATTAATTCAAAAATTCAAAGAATGTTAATAAGGGTGCCAGGTTGAGCTCTTGAAAGGTATGAAATACCAGAATTTCCACCTTGCTGTAGCCAGCCCTAGTGTCTGCATTATCACACTATCTAATTACATAGTCATCTTCTGCTTTTTCCATAGAGTGGAAAAGGTGCTTTTTTCCATAGAGCAGAGTGGAAAATGTGATGTGCTTGCCTAGGCTCCCCATCTCTCTGTGTGCTGTTTACAAGAACAGGGAAATAAGCTAAACTTTTGTCTTGGGTGATTGTGGAGGATTCATGTGGTACTCCCAGGCCACACTTCTCCTCATTTAGCTGTCTCTTAGATGCTGGTAGCCTGTAAAACACTGTGCTGCCTACTCATAACTTCTGGCTGGTGTGGGCACTCCTAAGTATGCTGTGGGGTCATTTTGGGAAGCTGTGTCACAGCAGACACCAAAGCCCAACCCATGAGAGTTTTCCTCCTCCACAGCACAGGGCAGACTGCGCTCTGGGAATGAATGAATGATTGGATGCTGTGTAGTGAGCAGAGCTGGTTTGTGTAGCACATCTTTCTGCCCAGAATGTGGGCTCTCACAATGGAAAAAGAGGCAACAATAAAAAGGATTTCATGTTTAAGTGTTGATCTGGAAGACTTTCACAGCTCTACTGCTTCCACATTTTGGAGCAGTGACCTGTAACAGAGTTATGTTTATATTTGAGGGACAGTGACACAACTTGGGAAAATTTATCTGCCTCTGGCTCAGTTACAAGCCTCCAAAAACATAAATATAAACATCTCCTCTGTTGCATATGGCAACTGTTGCCTTACCAGGCAACAACTACAGTGCTTGTATTTTAGAAATTCCAAGCATATGGGGATTTCCTTTGGATCTGGATCAGCTGAAAAGCTAGCAGTGAATTCCATTGCCTGGTTGATAACGAGTCACAAATGTCTTGGTGCTGGCTTTGTACAGAACCAAAAATAAGTTAATGGGTCATTGAGTGCAGCTACAGCCTGGTTGCAGGGGAAAAAATAAAGCTGCCTGTTTCTAATATAGCATTTCTCACAAATTTTATTCTTTTGCATCATGTGAAGTATTATAATAACTGGGATGTAAAGAGTAAATACAGAAAAAGCCTCAGTCAGGGTTCCTTGGAAGAATACATAAAGTCTTGATAGTTGGCACACACAGTGGCCAGTTTCATTAAAGCCTTTTCTTCCCAGTGTCTCCAGCTTCCCAGCTTTACAAATAGTTTCCGCTGCTGAATGGCAAGTTCCCATTCCACTGTTCTAGCCTTTGTTCAGAGAAAGAAATGGAAAATGCCTGGTTTTGTGACTAGAAGATGCTGTATGAATAGGGAGCTGCGTGTAAAGATGTGTTGAATCATCCTGACATGAGCTGAATAAACAGCCAGGAAAGTGGATAGTTCAGTGTGCATCTGGCTTCCAACTTGGCCCCTTTTCAGATCAGATACTTGTGTATTTTTGCCTGTCATCGCTTATGACCAGTTATCTCTGTTCACCTGCTGGATGTACGTTTCTCGTAATGACTACCTTTAAAGATACATCAAGATAGCAAAATAGGGTGATTACTTCCCACTGTTTCATGTGAGGGAAGGTGGAAGATAATTTATGAGGGTGAATTACAGTTTCCTTCTCTCATGTGTCAGTGAAGTTTAATAAAAAAAAAGACATTAGATGAGCAATACCTGTATAGTTAACTTTTAGGTTGAAGAAATCCTCAGTTTTCTGGAAATACTGGAATTTGAGTGCAATCTCCATTTCCAGACCTTTCTGAAGTAGTGCTCTGCGGCAGTACTTGGGCTCTTCTTTAGGGTTACTGCGTTTTATTTTGGGCCAAATTGCAGGAGGTCCAACTTTCATAGAACTGGTAATTTTGTAATGGTTTTATATAATTAGAATGTCTGCACTCTGATCACAGTTTGATCACAGCTTTTCCTAGAACATTTTCACTGTTGTACTTCATGCTGAGAAGTTTTATCTGTTTCATTTCCCACTGAAGTAGGGATGATTAGAGATCTGACCACGGAAGTATTTAAAAGCAATGTTTTAAAGTACAAGCAGTGTGAGTTCTTTGGGTCTCATTTGCTTGTTTTCATGGTGCTGCCACAGCCAGCTATCCTTAGGAAAGGTGGGTTTTCCACAAATTCAGGTGCTCCATTTTTCAGTTTTGGGTTAGACAAGCAAGGGATAAAGAGAGTGTTTCCCCACTGAAGAAATATTTTGTTCCAGAAAGTAGGTGATAAAAAGGAAAATAAACCCAGCAGAATGAGAGATGTTCTTTTATTGTCTGAGCCGCAGTCAGATGAAGTTTTTGTTACAATTTAAAAGGCAGAGAGGGAGGTTTTAGGCAGAAACCGAAATCAAGTGTTGAATTGTTTTGAGTTTAAAGTTGGTTGGAAGTAATAAAAAAATAAATAATCTGGGTATGATGACAATATTCCTCAGATGAGCATGCTTATAAAAGTAAGATAATGGGACTGACTGCTTTTAAATTGGTGGAAAGCAGGTCATGGTGAAAGCCAAGGCTGGCATGGTTTCTATAGTATTATCAGTTTCCATGCTTACAGGACACAAGAGTAGAGCGGGAATCTTGGAACCTGTAAATCTTTCACTGGTTCTGAATCGAAGTGGAACAGTTAATGTAAAAAATATCTTTCTCACTTTGCAATAACTCTCAAGGGGAGCCCAGAAAATGAAAGGCAAGAAAAGCAAGCTGATGAACATTTGCTCTGGCTCAAATAAGAGCAGATGTGATGCCAAAAAGATCTGTGCAGCAGCAAACCAGCTGAAATCAACTCAACTCTTTGACTCTTAAAATATGTATTCCAAAACATGCTTGTTCTTGTTTACCAGATATTGACATATTTAAGCTAGTAACTTCAATTAAAAACACCCCTAAACAACCAAACCTCTCCAGAATCCTCTGTTTCGTCCAGAGGAAGATAGTAAGTACAAAAGGGATTAGGATGTGTTCTGCCATCGGTGCACAGGAGGGTAAAGACCCTTTTCAGAGACTGGGGAAAGATTTGTCTGTTTAGTAAAGAGCATCTGCAGTAAAGGAGAGAGAGAGGGTTTAAATATAGGAAATAAATGGACATTCAAAGGATAAGGATGTGTTATCATCTTTGCATCTACCTGTACATGAAGGAAAAGATTTTCCAGACTTAAGGGAAAAGCTTTCTGCTTAACATTATTAAAGGGCTGTAGGTTCAATCCTATATAGTAGCCTGAAGTATTACAGTGAAATGTGATTTTCAAGGTGAGGAATGCCATCAAATTGAAATGTAGAAAGATTAAGACCTCAGATGAACCCCTGATGTTTCTCTTGGACTGGTGCAGAGGATCTGTTAATTTATATCACTCATTGAAAAGTGAACATTTTTGTGTGGGTGGATGAGGAAAAGTCTCAGCCTTCATCCAATATGAGTAGCATGGGATCACCTCCTTCCTACACACATTTATCAGTGCTAAGGATACATTTGGCATAGATGTCTGGAAGGTGAGGAAATACCTGGCATTGGGAGTGTTTTCCAAATGTTAGTGTTTAGGATAAACGAGATGAATCACCAGAAAGGAAATAAGCAACAACGCAGGACTTCCCATGGGATTTTGCCTGCTGCTGGTCTCGCAGGAGGCTCCTACGTGCGGGATGTGCTTGGGCACACTGGGAATGAGGGCAGTGTGAGCACCTGGGAACGTCTGGGAATGGCATTGGCGTGGCAGTGCTGAAAGCAGGACTTGGGGGCATTACTCTGCCTCTGCCTGCTCTTTTCAGACACTTCAGAAAGATCTGGTTCCTGTTGCCCATTTTTCAGAGGTGTTGTCCACAGTGGGTGGATTTTCATCATGTGTCTCAGCTGAGGACTGATAAAGTGCTGTATGCTCAGACCTAGTGAGAGTGTAGAACATGGCTGGCGATCAGCACATTTATGCCAAACATAAGGTTTGTTGTAGAGGGGAGTATTGGCATGGAAATTTATGCATGGCAAGCTCAACTGGGAAAGAACATTTTCTCCTTCGGTGAGATAATGATTTGCTAATAGTTTAATCAAGCAGAGGAGATTTAATGCATCTGGCTGAAGGGACATTAGTGTTTCCGAAAAGGTCAGACCCATTAACAGCTCAGGAGGACACTGGCAAAACTGCTTCCTAAGTAACTCAAAGAACAGTGATCCTCAGAGGAACTTGGGGAAAAAAGCCAGAGGGCATTTGAATGAGCACCAGCCATGCTGAGGTATGAAATTCTGCTTGCTTCTCAAACCTGATTTCTTTTTCCCCCATAAAGCCCAAAGAGTTGATACTTTGATTCT